AGAGAGAGAGAGAGAGAGAGAGAGAGAGAGAGAGAGAGAGAGAGCTCTGGCAATTCCATTTGCAGAATTTACCGACTCAGCTCCGATTCTCTATTCGAGAATATCGGCCGCAACGCGTCGGTCCGATTTCCATGGCAACGCAGTTGGTTCAGAATGGTATCGACTTTGATCTTAAGTCGAATGGTTGTCGCACGACGACCGTCATGTCGCGAACCCGGTCTACTCTCCTTGTGCCGATGCCGTTAGCTTCGATTGGCCGCGATCGACTTACTTTGGCTTTACACCGCGATCGACTCGCCGCGCACGATCAAGTGCCGTGCACCTTCCTTTCGTGGTGTTAAACGAGACAATATGCAGTTCGTCGTCAGTTTAGCAGCAGTTCAATTCAGCTATATCGTGCGCGATATCATGAATAGGTACAAGCAGTGTTGAGAAGGATCTGATAGAGACAGTGTATAATATGGAAACATTGTTTTCTCGTGTAAGCGCATAAAAAAGTATTTTCAATTTTCGTATCATTATATTGTCTGCCATTGTGATAGATATTACGAGTTTTTAAAATTGGAAATAGAATGTCTGGATCATCTATTGATGATTTTATGATATTAATTTGCACTCAATAAAATAACGAGTTAAGACACAAATAACTAAAAGAAATTGACATTTTTAAGTTGATCACAACAAAAAAAAACTTTCTGTAAAAATATCACTCTATTCAAATCTTCATTTAAAGACTGATTAATCAAATTATCGTTTCCTTGAATAAAACACGATAGGTATATATTTAATAATGCACCAGAAGATATATTTTAAGACGAACAAAAATAAAATAACAATTGATGTGTTATTAATGAGAAAAAAATATTGGATAAACGACAGAGAAATAACTATGTTGACACAAATTATGACATAAGTATTCGAGAAAATAGAATTTAGATCAGTTTTATTAGGTACAGAGCGTATTTGTTCTCTAAAAAACACAATTGTGAAGAAAATAGAAAGTAACGATCCATTTTCGCGAAAGTCATTTCTGGGGTAACCCGTTCTCGGACTTTCTTGCCATTTTAGCCCTTTCTTGACCCGCTATAAGATACCATAAAAGGTGATGGTAAGAGAACATGATAATAAAAGAACAAAACTTTATATGTCCGTATTATAGAATTTTATCCATTTTAAAACAAATAACAATCATTGTCAATTAATTTAAGACAAACAAATAAACGAAACGGAGGAAAAACTTGCTCAAGGATCTCTTTCACTCTAGTTGAATACGCTATTAAATGCGATAAACATCCGATACATTCTAGCAAGAGCACAATCGAGCTGGTCATCGGAGGTTCTCGCGATTACATTTATCGGATTGCGATCAGTTCACGATACAAACCCTGGAGACAATTCTTATACGAGACTGAACGTTACAAGGCGAACGTACCATATCCTTAGTCGCCGAAGATATTTTTAAATCTCCGCGAGATACAGCTTGCGATTCGATTATGTCGCGCAGTTTATCGTCGCTGCGAGGTGCATATTCGGCATACAAACGATCGCAGCATATGAAGTCGGCTGTAAATTGGCATAAGGCAAGGTATATCGCGAGATTTTGAATTTGTGTGAGCGCGAGTTACGACCGTACCATCGAGAAAACGAGATATTCAATTCCGCGCCGGAGAGACAGTTCCAGAGATCGCAATATTGCATAAATAACACTTTGGATCTTAATTCTTTTTTTACTTTTCAAGCAGAATGAAATTTCCACAGAATAGAAATTAGCTGCGACAGAAATAAATTCATCCGTTTTTTTTATATACTCATAATATAAAAAAATGGAAATATTAATATTATATTTCTTTTTAGAAATAAAGAAAGAGAAGAACATGATTAATAGTGCACATGATAAAATAATATTTTTTAGATCCTAATTCCTTTTTTATTTTTTAAGCAGAATAATAAGATTTCCACGGGATGGAAATTAGCTGCGATAAAAGTCATTCTTTTTCGAGCCACAATATTAAAAAAATCGAAATTAATATTCTCTTTAGGAATGATTGAAGAAAATGAAGTACATGACGAGGGAATACTCACGCAAGGCGAGTCTCATAAACGTTTCGAAACTCCACGTCCATTATCGTAAGCTGCATTTTACGTTAGAACGAAGCAAAACCGATTACCCATATCAAAGGCAATCTGCATGCAACTGATTACCCCGTGAAATCTTTGCCCTCTCGAAGAACTCAAGGGGCGGAGAAACGCGAGGTCATCCTAGCTGTATATCGCGCGGGTATCTGGGCTATATTCTTATGGAAGATGAAAGACTGGATTTAACCATTTGCGTGCCGTCGAGTATAAGAAATATGAACGGCGCGCGGCGCTCTGAAATGGTCGCACATATATCCGGTGATCTGTATATCCATACACCGTCCCGCATTGCCGTGGATTCCTGATATACCTCCGCAGGGACACGCTTTTAAGATAGCCGCTAGTCGAGCGTACAATTTACGACGAGGATTCTGTGAAGCGCATGGCTCATAAAAGCAAAAGCATTCGCCGCGGAATTCAAGTGTCAATTGTGAAGAGAAATAAACATGGGAGGGAACAGCGGTATCTCGACAGTCTTAAGTGCCATCTTCTTTAATTCCGTGTTAAGCGTTCATTATGTCACAATCGTTTCCCATTTCCATAGCACGACGAATCTTTCTGCTAGTGCGGCTCAATCATGTCGCGCGTGCGCGAACGTACCGTATTATTGACGGAACAATTGCGCGATTATTCGTGCACGGGGGCTGATTGATTAGCGTGATAAGCGAATTGAGATCATAGCTGCAATTAATTAGAGGATATCGCTGGTTATATGCGATTCGCATTCAGTTATTGCAAATCCATTGAAGAAATTGGATATTTTGTATTTTCTCCACTTACGCTCCTGATTTTTTCGTGATATGTATTATTTACTAAAACAAAACACTATTCTATGCACGGATTTAGGGGAGAATGTCCTAAATCGGACCTTTTTAATTGAAATAAATACGGTTAAGCAGAATTGCGTGCTATTTATAATGTAAAGTCCTTATAAGACACCGAACATGTGACAACAGTTTGGCAGTACTTCGTCATAACGTTCATAGAATAGACGCAAATATGTATTTTCGTCTATCATGCGAACATTTTTTTAAAAAAGAGAATCCTTGTAAATCATTATTTAAAAGATGTTAAAAATTTGAACGGTAATTGATTTAAGATAATTAAAGAGTGTAGAATTAAAAAAATATCAAGAGTTTTGTGATTACTTTTGCGGTCGATTGTAAAATTTGTTCCAATCGTTTGAAAGAACCCGAATCGGATCTATGTATACAAAAAAACACTTAAAAGACGTACGCCAGCTAATTCATCGAAGAAAGAAGGTTCGCCACAACTTGGTTGTAATACTGGTGATCAAGATCTCATCTAAGGAACACTAAATCAATAAAATATCATTGTGTTATCAGACTCAGATTGATGGAATTTTTTATTGATTTTAATTCTAATAATGTAAACTAATAGTATAAACTGTATTTTTTTATCTTTGAATCTTAAATTGCTCATTTTTACTTAATACTGGCAAAAATTAATTAAACTATTTAAAAAATCTATCTAAAAGTCTATAAAAATAGGAAAAATCCGGAAATCGGACCGGAAAATGATTTTTACATTTTCCATTATAGTCCGACACAAGTAAGAGATACGTCAAAATGGTCTAAAGCAGAAATGAAGGAAATTAAATGATCTTTCAAACTGCACCATTGATTTTATGATTGGACTTTATTTACGCCTTATAGAGAATAAAAACTGCAAATAGATCCGATTTAGATCACTCTCCCCTATATTTTGTATAAAGAAATGTCTAAAAATTATAAATTAATTGTACATTGATTATTATGGTATCTATATATATTTATAATGTGATGCCATCGATACAAGATTTAACCTTTTAAGAAAAAAAAACTGATTAATGCTCTATAAACTGTTTAATATAGTAATTGATGATATTTCATCAATTACTGATGCAGTTATCATCAGTTACTGATAGAACTAATCAGTTTATTGGAACACTAATTAGTTCTTTTTCCTAAGGGGAATACATTTTATATCTTCCAATATTACATAAACTTAATCCTCCGTCTGCAATCTGAGTTTTTTTTTAGTACAAACAGAATTTCGTTTAAACTTCGAAATATAGAAGGATGGAATCCAATTTCCTTTTATAAAAAGTATTGTGCAAAATTATTTGATAAATTATATAATAAATGAAATTAAGATTAATGAGAACAAATCAAATAAAAAAATTCCTAGTTTCAATTAAAGCGGATTTATATTTGATAATTAAATAAAGAGTTCAAAAAGTAACTTTAAATTTTTCTACATTTTTAATGTTTAAAATAATAAAAAATATTAAACAGGAAAATGTAAAAATGATTGCAGATAGAAAGTTAAAGCATTCGGTAAAATGTTATTGTATTCTTTGTCAAGTTTTGTAATTATTCTTAATTTCTTAATTTCAATAATTCTTAATACTAATTACAAATTGCATAAGAAAAGCCGATACTATGATCAAAGTCATTGTTTAAATTTGCAATGGTCAAACTCTAGTTCTGACCTGCATGCACGAAGATGCTTTTTGATGTTCGTGTGGGTAAAACATTAGGAATAGAGAAGCTATTGTATTGAGATCAGCTCTATTTAGATAATCTAAAGTTATGTCGATTCTCGTCTCTGGAGCTGCACGCTCGTTAAAAGACGATCGCTTTCTGTTTTCCATCCCCAAGGTACACTTTCAGAACATTCGCAAATTCCGTTCGTATCACTTACATCGCGTGCCTTCGAGCCAAAAGTGTATAAGTGTAGCAAACGATAGAAGGAAAAAAAAGCGGAGGCAAAGATTTCGTAGAACTCTTTCGAACTTACATGCAAAGTCACACTCTCGCCTTTCCCGTTGTTGCCGCTTTGATTTTTAAGAATCTGAAATGAACTTGCAAACTACAAAAGTGCATTACAGTTCGTAGATTATTCGGAATTTTTATTTACTTTAAAAGCAACTCTTTTTTTCGTTAGAGCTGACGTAACGTTAAACGCATACAACTTGCACGCTCGTCTCTTTGCATTTTTGCAGTAATTAAAAAACCTTTCAGGTTTAGGTAAAATCAAATGTGTGCCAACATGAAAAAAACATGGAAAATATTCGCGTTCTATTTCACGCGGTTTATTTTATTCACATTTAATTTTTTATCTAATCTCGATATTTTAACATACTTCCACGGTTGTCACGTCAAAATAAATAAATTAAACAATTTATGTAAAAGGATTTTGGACACGTATTCATGTACATTGAAACATCTATTATTGTACAATAATATATATATAATATATTCTTCTATTAGCAATATGAAATTTTCATCCTTTATCTGCAACTTCTTAGATTCTTAAATTTCAAGTACAGATTTTTATTGTTCCAGATTGTATAATAATCTTAAAAAATTCTTACATGCTTGCGAAGGTTTTAATAATAAGTTTTCACTATCCCACACATAGAAGTTAGGATTGTATGTTTTGTAGATTTAAATTTATCTACCAGAATTCACAATAAAAATTGATTGTTTCTTTAATGTTCAACATTGCCGGCGAAGGAATATTACTTCAATTACTTTAGAAGAGCAATAATAGAATAAGAGGTAGAAAGTAGGGCAATAAGCATTTAAAGTATAAGACCGTGTGAGAAAGATATGGATGAGTGAAGTAGGAATAATGTTTGTAAACCAAATTCCCTTTTTTTGGCTAAATGTAAATGTTGAAGAGAGAATAAAATTCTAATTCTAACATATTCTATTATAAAACATAAGAAATAAACGAAGGGCCAAGAGCCAAATGTTGACATTTAAAACAATAACACTTTAATTTAAATTAATAAACATTACAAAATAATAAAAACAATTATCAACAGACGTTTCGACACCGATCGGGTCATTATCAATGTTCACAAAAATATTTAAAAAAAAACATATGTCTACAGAATAAAATTTATTATTAATGAACGCAGTTTTCATTTAATTACATATTGCAGTTGAATGTATTTTGGAATAGTCAAATAAAATTGGAAGTTCTTATTTAATAGTCAAAACAGCAAACATTCAAAGTCCATATAAGAGAACAAATATATAGTAATATCTGTAAAGAGTCATTAACAAATCGAATAAAATGAAAATGAATTCTAATCTGAATGTAAGATAAAACGTATATAATTTGTAGCTTAAGCGTAAAAATCAAAGAGAAGGCGTGATTTCAGTTCATATTCAATATTACTAAAATGAGCAAATTTGTCACTTATCGTATGTGAATCCGGCGACTTCCAAATGTTCAGCATTTGGCTCTTGGCCCTTCGTTCATTTCTTGGAGCCTTCTATTACATTAATATTCTATTATTTCAATCATACAAAACACGTTTTTACGGATGTAAATTTTTTTCATTAACAATCGTGATATGTTATGTGAAAATCTATGCTACCTGCGGCGAGGTATTATCGAGAAAAATTCGTCTTATTAGAGAGGGCTGTTCCGGAGCGTTGCAAATGCGCCGCCGCGGAAATAACTGCGGCAGTGCGTGCACACTCGGGGGTCGTAAAGCTTTGCTGTACGAGAACACGAGCCAAAAGGATGAGAGAGACAGAGACAGCGAAGGAGGAAAAAAAAAAAGAAATAGGTATATGCGCGCGAATGCGCGCCTCTGGAAATAATTAGAAGATGCCCTCTATAAATGGAACTCGTGAAATGTGGGCGATGCGGAGTTTCATTAACCCCAGCATCATGTTTCCCGCCCGGTTCGCGGCAACTGCGTCGAGGGTAATTTTTTTTTCTTTTATTCTCGCCCCGCGTCCCAACACACGCTAACACACACACACACACACACACACACACACACACACACACACACACACACACACACACACACACAGTCGCACTCTCTTTCGCGGTGTCACTCGGCGGTGGCGCCAATACTCGTCCGCTCAATTTCCGATACTGGAAAAAAACCCTCTTCAAACGCCCCCGCTATTTTTTGTCATCTCTCTCGCGACAGGTCGGCGGAGAGGGGAGTCGCGCAATTAGTTTTGCGACGCGCACGTCCCGTCTCCATATATGACAATCCTGTGTACAGTCGGTGAATCTGATGGACCCAATCGTCCCTTCAGGCTTATTTATGCAAGAACGTGTCTCGTCCAACACATGCTGTCAAAGCTGTAATATTTTCTTTCCTCAAAATGAAATTTCTCGGAATATATTCTCTTCCACTCTCTAATAAATGAATAATCCCAAACTTGTGTGGTGAGCCACGCCATAATATCTCTGTTACAATTTTATTTAAAACTTGTCGTCAAATATGTATTACTAGAGCTTATCTGATAAAGACTTTTGCTATTCTTCGTTAAATATACAATGTTAAAGTTTCAGAGATATCAGATCGCTTACCAAATGACTATATATATATAAAACGATGATGTTTTAAGCACGATCTTGTACGTCTCGAGGGGAAATTTTCCATGATTAATTAAAATTCTCCGGATGTCTCGTGAAATATCATAAGTACTTATAATTTATCTTAGGAATATCTTTCGGGAGACGACACGCTTGCAGCGATATGTATATGATATTTCTAGAGATGGCAAAGAGAATAATCGCACGAATATTTTTAGTGTACAAATGTAGCAAAAGTCAGCGCGCGTACACCGTCTAAATAATTTTATTCGCCAGATCCTGGCATATAATTTACAATTCCTAACTAAGAGATTCCCTGAGCGGTGAGGTTTTGGTGCAGCGACCTTAATAGACGCCAGTCTGCGGTCGTGACTTAGGCTAAGAGAGATGTAATTTCGCGGCTGTTAACGCAACGATCTCATAAGAAGCGTCGCTATCTCGAGGCACGTTCCTGATAAAAATCACGAAGCGCCGTTCCACGACGGACCCTTTTTTTCTTTTCAGTCCCGTAGGTATATCTCTTTTCCCGCTTCCCATTTCTTCTTTTCTGGATAGCGACACGCCATCCAGAAGACAAACCCATTTGCTGCTACTCCTTCTCTCTCGCCACCCCTTACGTGCAGAGATAACGTGCCCTCGACGTGGCCGGCACGTCTTACTATGCTATTCTCGCCGGGTCTCCATCGTACTCGCCGCATTCTCGCTTCTAGGTTCTCCTCTACCTTCGAGCATCCACATTCAATTTGCTGGCGACCCCGTATCGTAATTCCGTTCGGCGAAAGTTCGCCGAGATTCTTTCGTTAAATCGGCATCCATCAGGCGCGACGTTAGTGCGTGAATAAGAGGTGAAATAAGAACGATAAAGATAAATTAAATTTGATCGCCTGGTCGCTGATTCGCCTGGATCGGACGAATTGTACAGTTCGAGCATCACATACATGTGAAGAGTACATATGAGGGTGAACGGGTGGCTTTGCCTCCTACGATCGATCAGAACGATGAAGACGCCCGGTTCGTGAGGAAGCGCCTGCGTTTAGCTTAGTTTATAATCCCCCTTTCCAGAGATAAACTCATACATAATTTAGCAGGGCTCACATAAAAAGCAGCAAAATTATTCTGAATTAGGAACGTTTTTAGTTTTCACATCTCCGGTAATTTCCATATCTGAGATGTTTATTTAAAAATCCAGGACTTTTCCTTCCTCGTTGATGCAGATTTATGTAAAAATGGCAAATATTTGGACATACTGCAGCAAATTGTAATTTCGCGCAATTTTTTAAAGATTTTCGAGCCATTTCATCCGATACTTCGCGCCGGGTTTTAATTCTAATCACTTTTGCTTTTAACACAAATATTTAAATAAGACAAATGTTTAGTTTACATCAAAGTACTGTTACAGCGATTTTTCGAGCAAACCGGTTAATGAAATGTGTCATGAATTTTGCGAAATACACATGTGCGAGATCTCCTTGTTCGTTGTATGAAATCGTTTGTTTCCAGGTGCGATGAGGTTTTCATTACGTGAAACAATTTTCGAAATGGCGAGCGCATAGTGTCCATGTAAAGAACCTTTAACCCGCCATTGAAAAATCGCTCGTATCCGCGTCACGGAATGCGCGTCGGATCGAACGGTCGAAATAGTTCACGTAGCTCGCAATCCGTTGAGCGAGAGACAATGCATCGCCGATGGAAAATCGCGAGTCGAAAAACGAACGCTCGAACGAACTCCCATGCTCGTTCGAAATAATCGGAACGTGGAGGTGGTGCGAACGCGTGAAGGCGCTAGAAACTGCCGCAAAACGATCGCGATAAATCAGGTATTGCGTTATCGTTGCGACGGTTTAGTTTCCCCGGTGAAACATCTAACGATGATGATGATAATGATGATGATGATGCAGCATGCGTGACACATCGCAATCTACACTGACTGGTGTATATGAATTGGCGGCAATTAGACGAACGTTTGATTACCCCAAATCTTTTAAGTTTACTCGTACCGGTATACGCTCCCACGTGAACACGAACACTCCGTCGATATACACGATAAGAGATGAGCAATGATAAAGTGTCGTACGTTGGTTCTTTAGAATTCATGAGATCAGATAATTCGGAAATAAAAAAGCCGATAGGTTTTAAAACTCTTGACAAGATATATACTCAATTAAATTAAAATCATGAATCCGGAAAATAATCGTCAACTTTTCGTTTGAAACCTCATAATAAATGTAACATATAATTTTAATCTCTATTCAATTTACTCTTCATTTTTTTCCAATTCTAAAATTGACAAAAAATGAGTAATAAGTTGAACCAAGAGAGATTAAAGTTGATCTTACTCTTGGAGAATCGAGCCTGAAGACACAAGAAACTCTGGTTAAGCTATTGATATCATATACACATAAACTGCTAGCCACTTTTTCTACAATGCTTTGAACTAAACTGAAAATTGTTGAAATAAAGGTGTCTATATTATGAAAATAAGGATAAAACTGCATTTGTTTTTAACTTGGCTATTAGACCATATTAAAGTCATCTTTAGTAAAATAATGGATATTTATAATATTTTAGATACCTTTTAATATTTCTTAATACATATTATTGATTCTTGATTTATATGCTTATGAGTTTTAAAAGTGATGGAAGACATAATATTATACCTATTATAAAGTGTGGCATTAGTAGTTTATATATAAATATATGAAAGATTAAACATAGAAAATGTTTTATATGTACACATGTATATTATATATATAAAATTTTCCGCCGTCAATGTTTGGATTTTAAAGTCATAGTCGATTTTGTTATTGTAAAAAATTCTGGTAGATATATATTTAAATCCCTAAAAAATAAGTAAAATATAAGTCAATTTTTATGATAAAGTAAAAAATCGTTGCTGAAGCTTCCACAAATATGTAAGAATTTTTTCAGATTTTTATAGCAAACTGAATGTGATATAAAAATCTAAAGTTCGAAATCCTAGATTACAGACGAAGGTAACAATTTCACATTGCTGAGAAGATAATTTGCATTTTTGCTTGAATTAAACGAGCTGACATTAGAGAATTTTCATTGCCTACCATACGAACGATATGGTAATACTTATAGTGAAAGAGACGTGGCGCAATTGCAGCACCACACCCAAGACCAATTCTGATACGGATGCTTGATGTTCTCTACGGTTGATGTCAGTGCGTCCACGCCAAATTCCAGGGTGCAACCGTTCGAGAGAAAACGTTTGCCGTGCAAATTCGAGAACACGTTGCTAGTTGTTGCTGCAAAGGGCATTCGTCGCATCGGAAATGTTCGTTATCACACTGTCGTTTGAGCCGTGAACGCGCGTGGGAAACGCGGCATGTGCGACGCAACGCTGAATGGCACCCTAAACGCGCGACGTCTCGCGCGACGAACACGGTAAATATCACTTTTGGTGCGAGGACATTTATCGGATGTTACACGCGTTCTCCCAGTCGGAACATATTTCAGACGTGTCAAGCCGAAAGCCCGGTTTTATCCCACTCCGGTCCGAAGAATACAACGTTGATCGCTGTTGCGCCCACAGTCGCCTCATAACCCACAACGGCTAAGCCTAGGCAGGATTAGACGAAACGGGAACGAGAGATGCCTTGGGAATAACGTAGCCTGGTCCCTCCAAGCCACGAACTACTCCATAAACATTGGTTCCGGTATCGAGATGTCGACGTTAATGGCGTGTCGCGTAATATCCATATGCATAGCCTTGTAAGAAGTCGAGAGTTAACCGAATGGCTGGTGGCTCTCGCGGCTGCTCACTACGTCACCATTAGAATAATTAAAGAAGATTTCTATGCTCTTAATAAAGCACAAATGACGTCTCGCCGCAGCGATATGGTATAACTTATGATACTATACGATTTAGTTTCTAAGCTCCCTGTACGTGGCCATTGTGCGTTTTGTGTAGCCCGTTTATAGCCACCTTTAAACCCGGAATAACTATATTTCTTATTGTTAATCGCACTTTAATACTACACTGGCACATATAGCATTATTAAAGCAATTATATATACAGATACCATCTACTTCCATATACTTGACGTAGTCTATTTTCTTAATAAAACCGCAAAAGAGATAATTACTATTGCAAATGCTTCTTTTAGACTTCGCACGGTGCACCGGGCAAATTTTTACACGGAATTTGTTAAAACTGCAGACTCAGGTTACGGGAGGATCAGGGGGGATTTTTGAGCTTGGTCCGACACGCGCGTTGCATTCGGGAAAAACTCATTTCACCTTCGCAGAGTCTAGAATTTGTGGCTTTGCCGCCTGTATTCGTACCGTGGCGAGTGCCTCGGAATGCCTAAGCCGGGATTAGACAAACGAGCGTGAAGCTGGGAAGATGGTAGCCGGAGAATCGTGGCTTTTCGGAAGCATCCAGGCGCCTTCGTACGCTTTCCGTTTGCTCTACATGCCGCTAGTTGCGAAGCTCGCGTCGAAGTCTTCGTCAGGACGATATATCCGGCTGGCCTAACCGATACCAAATTTCGCTATTCGCATTCGTTCATGGGGAAACGTAATCGTGCCTCATTCCCAACCGCTCGAGAAACTCGTTTCGCCTTATTCATGAGGAAGCAATCTTGACACGACGGGACACCCGAGAACGTAATGAATTCCGATGAATCGATAATAACGATGGAAATTTCATGTATTGTGCTGTCGCGGTATTCATATCGCATTAACGATATTTGTCGATATTTCTCGGAACATTGAAATAAACTACATGCAGTTATTATAAATTAAAGTTGATGGCAAATAGGCAATATTCGTTCAATGTATAAAAAATTTGTAGATCTGACGGAGTTTTTACAATTTGGCTAGATTATAAACTTTTATTATAATGTTAATTGTCAAACTAAGCTTAAGTAAGCAGTTTGATAAGTCAGTGACTTTTCTAACTCATTTTCTTTTTTTTAAATCAGAATTCAACTTATTTATAATATAGCCTTCTTTTAAAAAGTTACCGATTTGTCAAATTGCCCATGTATTATATTGTAAGAAAAACGTTATGAGGATATAGAATTGCTATCTGTCCTATTTTTATAACCTCGGGGATATTCTAAAGGGAATTTTCCGAAGGCTTTCAAAATAATGCAAAATGAGCATCTGGGGAGAGATTCAGAGAATTTTCTAAATATTTTGCTTCGACTCCTCCTGTAGTATTCTGTATTAGTTTCGATTTACAACAGATAGTAAACCGCAAACCGCAAGAAATGGACCAATCACAGTCGAATATAAAAAAAGTAAGCGACTATAATCAATTTCTTATATTACTACTACCGTTCATTGTTCCGTCTATTGTCAGAAGTTTATCGAAGCAAAACGAAATGCACGGAGCAAGACGAAATAATTATTTATTAACTGTTTCAACCAATTTTATTACACTCTACACGTATTTTTGTATGCGTCCGGAATTCTAAGCTAAATGTTCGAAATTTTCGTCTGCATAAATTCTAGTTTTGTGGAAATTTTGATATAGTAACTCTACATTGGATGAATATGTAAATCATAAAATCGCGTGATCCGTAAAAGTCTTGGTCTCATCGAAGCCGATCGAATCGATTTTGGTCGGAACGAATCTAAAGAAATCAAGACGTCACACTTATAAATGAATTCCGATCGCCAGTAAATGATAAGACGGTCGCTAAAATCAGAGGGAGTTCAAACTAAGTTTGCACAAGCAAGGAGAAATGGTTTTTGCGTTCATTTGCAGGATCGATAATACGTCAGCAGCGTGGACGGAAGCACGACTTGAAAGTTATCCGGTGGCGATGAAGGATAGTCGCCTGGACGATGGCATTTGTCACGGTCGTGACCAACAGGTAGCCAGCGGTTATTTCTTCTTCACGGCGACGTAGTGGAGTGCTCATGGCAGTGGAAACGGTTCGATTACATTGTGACCATTTGAATGGGTTCGAGGCTTGATAGAGGCCGGGGAAGAGCCTGCCGACGTTGTCAGAGAGAGTGTCGGACGAAAAGGGAACGACGTTGCGTCGGACGGCGACCAACAGGTGCCACGATAATGGAATTTTTCTTTGTGTCGGCCATGGCGTTTGCCACGGGATCGCTCGTGGTAACCAAGCAGTATGCGTTACATACGTGCGGTATTCGCGGTACTAACAGATGGAAACGACGGCGTTCTCTTTCCTATATACGAATGATGACCGGAGGCTGGCTATGCGATGTTGTTACGTTTCGCCATGTAGTCGTAATTGTTATCGCGAATATTTCTTTCTAAAACAGGCAATCACCGATTCTAAAATAACCGCGACGCTTAACGGTGCGGAATGCGCACTTCGCGCTGCGTACCGTCTCACAAACGTTTTTACGAACTGTAAAACCGTTTCTTCAGTACGACAGTTTCTTGTTTGCTGAACGAACGCGCAATGGAACTGCTGGGAACAGAGGGATAGAGAGAGAGAGAGGAGAAAAACGTTCACGACGCGGGAAGTAATGGTGACACGATGACAAGCGTAACGCGTAATGTAATACGCTCGTGTAATTAGAGGTGCTTCAGCGCGGAAATACACGAGCGGTTGCATTGTGCGCGGCGTTGTTTCAGGTTTGATCTTGACATTATTTGAAGGCGTAATTTAATAAACCGCCACGCGAAATAATGCGCCGCTAAAAGAGCCGCAAATCCGTTTATTCATTTCGCCGCTACGTTTCTCCGACGTTTCCACGTAAAATCGTCGGGAGAAATAGGCGAGCTCGGCGCGTACATAAAGATACGCGAGATAGAAAAGAGGATTATATGTACCATTGTTTCACTTCTCCCGATGTTATTTCGACGCGGTGGAGTGTTTTAAACTTGACTCGGGAAAACGGGGTAACAACGACGCGAAATTACGTTGGTTGGTTGGTACCGCGAGTTATGCAGGCTCGTATTGTTATTCCGGCCTGTTCTGCTTACGATATTGCATTCAGGATATCATACATATCGATGACGAATTTCGAACCATCGTATTAATAGTATAACTATGAATTATTCCGTTGAAATAGTTTTAACTCCGTTGAGTATTGTATCTAACCAAATGCAGGCAAACGCGTCATCGGCTAACCTCATGTTGTTTACCACCGTTTCGATAAAATTGACTAGCACATCAGTTCTATTATCTATATTAGATAGTGCATGAGTTTGCGCAATGGCGAACCGTTGATCAATAATTCAACGTATTATGTAAATGAATTTTCGTTAATTAATCTCACGTACATTTTTCAACCATAAGTATCCTTTGAATACGCGAACGAATTCTAAAATGGATTACTCTTGAGATTTCACAAATCTACATCGTTACATGAGATTATTAAAACGTGTAGCCTACCGATTCACGAGATTACTGAGAGTTTAATTTTAGTTGTTATTGTCTTATCGTTAAAATTAACTTTTGTTTTTATTGCAAAATTAATGCTGGACTGAAACGTGCATCGTATAATTATGGTTGTCAGTTAAAAACATAAAATCTGCGTTAATACCATTATTCCTTTATTCTATTATAAATTTTTGCAGAGCGCACCTGCGATAATGAAACTGTGAATTATGCGAGATTCACACGAAACACTAATTCACATTCATATTTCAATACTTGATACTCTGCATTAAGAGATTACTGAATATATTTCTCACTCTGATTTTATCGTCCGAGCTGAATATATGAGCAGTCGTAGACGCACGAAATTTTTTATGAAAAATATTGTAAAATATAATATTCTACAGTACATTTTTCAAAATGTAAAATCGCGAATGCGCTTCGAAATCAGTTATGAGGCACCGCGTCAATGAAAGAACCACATTTGCAGGACAAAGGAAAGTCGCTAAAATTTTCACTCGGTACCTGATTACTTTTTTCACAGGCAGATTTTATTCTCTCATAAGCCTGCCAGCTTGGTTTAATTATGAATCCCGCCGACTGTTTTATTGCTTAAATAAAGCTAATGATACGCGCCTTTGTCTGTAGCTAGCACAGAAGTTTCAAATCGTTAAAATTCTATCCGTAACGTGTGCATATCCGTCAACTATGACATCGCGGTAATCCTTTATTCCGCTTCCTCGCCGAAACCATTCGTTTCCCATTCGATAGATACTCCGCTAAATCCGCAATTTTTAGATCGACGTTACAGAGAGATCGATAGCTTCGACAACGATGTACTGCCAGTAACGAATGGGGCGCGATGTTTATATCGGAGGAAGACCGATCGAATTAATCCTGGCGAATTGAGATAAGACAATGATTTGCAGGTCGATAGACTCGTCG